ATACATAGTTACAAATAAAAGTGGTATACAAGATATATACAAAAAACATTGTCAATCACATTCAATCAAAAATTTTATGGAAGTGTCAATTGCAAAGTGTGAAAAATATTTAATATCTTGGCAATTAAAGGATTGCAGAAAAAATATTTTGAAATGTTTGGCTTTTCCCCTATATCTCCGGAACCAAAAGGCTAGGGTCGATATTTCGATATCTACTCTTACTATTTACGAGATACGAAACCATTTACGAGATACATAGACTCGAATTTAAATAACCCCATTAAAATTTGAGTGCATTTTCTCAATACGAAGAGTCAAGAATATTTTCCCTGATATCTGCAAAAGGCTCCACCGAAGTTAGCAAGTATACATACATTTTTAATTTTATATAAATTAGTTCAACTGGCGGATCTGAAGTCTTGAACAATTATGTTACTATGAACACATTTCATTTGAATCAAAAAATAAAATTTATAAAATTACATTCCTTTTCTGTTGAAAAAAATATTCACCTGAATGATGATAAGCAATTCCATATTGCACAGAGAGTTCCAAAATATTACACAATTCACCACATTCATCTTTAAGTGCATGAAGCAATTGTTCCTTTTCAGATTTTTTATAGTTTTTTAATGAACTGAAAAAATAATGTTTATTCATGATAAAATAATTAGAAACAACTTACGGCTTACAAAGTTTACACAATAAACTCGCAACATTTTCACAATTTTTTTTAGTGGCACAAAATACCAAACAGGAACTGTTGGGGATCACATCTGTAACAAGACCTCCTATCATGTCAGGGTCCATTTTTAATATCGACTTAGAATACTGAAATAAAATTTAAATAGATATAAATCTCGGATACTATGAGAGATAGGAAGATGGTTCAATTGGGGGAAAAGTTGCGCATTTACCTGACTAACAATATGCCGTTGAGAAAGTTCTGAAATTCCGAGTATATCCGGAGTTATCCGGAAAAAACAGAATATTCGGAAAATGGATTTTATTTTTTTCTGGCTTTATTTTTCGAAGGATTCGAAAATAAATTGGATTTCCATATTGTCACTTTTTCCCTATTCATACATAATGGTATTCTCGGATTTACTGTCCGACGTTTCATCTTCCAGCCACCATCATCAACTTTATTTTCAATATGTGTGATTGATGACTTGTTTACTTTATAGTAATTCATGATCACTTAAATGATATGAATAGAAACACTTTTGTCTAAATACCACTGGAAAATTTTATTTATACACCGGTTTCGGGTTTGATCCCATTATCAAGTATAAAACTGAAATCTGAATTTTGAAACATCGATTTTATAGAATTTTCAGGTATGCTGCAAGGACAGGTATTTGAGAGACAGGATGCCAACTTAAAATATCATCCAGAAAATTCTAGTTGTTTAACAACCCCTAGAATTTTTTCACCTAATTTCAATTTCAGGTCATTTGACTTAACTTTATCATTGATAAATATGAAAAAATCATCCACATAAATTGAAATAATAGTTCTTGGATTATTTTTCATCTTGGTGTATAAACAGGGTTCCAAATTTGATCTCTTGTAGCCTTATACTTAGCCTTTTACTTATAGAGCCATGTACTTATAGAGAAGATGATCAACTTTGTCATTCCAAGGTCGTGATGATTATTTAAGGCCATAAATAGCATTTTTGAGACTTAAAACCATATTTTCACAATCTTGCATTTCCAGATCTTCAGGTATCATCATAAATATTGTTTCTTTTAAATCTCCATTAAGAAAAGCTGTTACAACCTCAATATGAAAAATGTTCAAATCTAATTTGACTGAAAGATCAAATAATAGTCTTAGGGTGAAGCCTTTGGCTACAAGCCTGGCTCGATATCTCACACCACAAGCACTATCACTTGTGCTTAAAAACCCACTCACATTTCACAATTGGAAAACCTTCTGGAATATCAGCTAACTCCCAAGCTGCATTATTCTGAAATGACTGTAGCTCCTCCTGCATAGCTTGCATCCAACATCCTCGATTAGGCCTGGACATAGCTTCTTCAACAGAAACTGGATCATCATCACCTCCCAGACATAAGTAACTAACAAAATCATCAAATGTTTTTGGCTTTGACACCCTTTGGGATTTCCTAGTTAGATTTTCAGAGATCATTTCATCAAGAATAAAGTCACTGTCTGATGTACTTTCACCTGTCTGTTTAGTAACACTTGAAGTTCCTGAAGTTTCACTGAAGTACTGATCATCATCCTCACAATCTCCCACTGGATCTGAGATTCTGAATTTTCATGATTAATGGCCATTCTGAAGTCATTGTGCTTTTCATTATGATGACGTCTCGGCTTATCACAACATCTTTTATTTCTGGGTCATAAAGTCTATACCCTTTGACATTTTCGCTGAAACCAACCAAAAAAGTCTTTTACGACTTCCTGTCCCATTTACTGCGCTTTTCTTTGGATATATGAATCATTACTTCGCTCCCGAAAATGCGTAGATGACTGAAATCTGGTTTGTTGTTGCTCCAAATTTCAACAGGAGTTTTTTCTAGACCTGTAACTAGTGAACGGTTTCTGAGATGAACCGCAGTATTTACTGCTTCAGCCCAGAATTGTTCATCAAATTTCGCATCGAAAAGCAGGCACCTGGCTTTTTCCACCACAGATCGGTTGAGCCGTTCAGCAGTGCCATTCTGCTGAGGTTAATAAGCATTGGTTTTTTGATGTATTATACCTTTATTACTCAAAAAATCCTCAAATTGTTTGCTACAAAATTCTCCTCCACCATCAGTGTGAAAAATCTTAATTTTTCTATTCTTCTGTTCTTCTACAAAATTCTTGAATTGTCGAAAATTTTCGAAGGTTTCATCTTTTGCCTTTTCAAAATAGACGAAACTCATTTTGCTGAAATCATCTTGAAGTATAAATAAATATCTCGATCCTCCTAAAGATGTTACCTCCATTGGACCACAGAGGTCTGTATGTATAATTTCTAAGCAATTTGAGGCTTTATTACGTTTTTGATTGAAAGGCAGTCTGCATTGCTTTTCTTCGCAGCACACTTCACACATGATATTTTTATTGAAGTTTTCTGTGCATTCCATGCCACTGACTATGCCATTTTTCATCAATTTCAAATCATTATAGTTCAAATGGCCAAACCTGCGATGCCAAACATCATTGGTGACGTGGTTTGCTGCCAGTAAAGAACATTATGAAGGTGGTTTGAAATTCAGCTGATACATATTCTCAACTAGATCAGCTGTAGCAATGAGTGTACTTGCTCTGTTATAAATCTTACGACCACTCGCATCAAAAACTACATCATTTCCATTTTTGATGAGTTGTGACACAGATAACAGATTTGTTGTCAAACCATGAACATATTTGATATTATTGATGGTTATATCATTATTACTTCCAGCCACTGAAGTAGTTATTTCCACATCACCAGCACCCTCAACTGACATTGTATTTTTGTTGGCCACAACTATTTCTGTCAATTATTGGTCTTTGTGTATATTTTTAAGCCAATCTTTCCTAGCTGTGAGATGTGTGCTACACCTAGAATAATCAATAAATAAATCTGTAGTTTTGAAACTTCTGCTTAAAAATACCGCAGTAAAAGCATTGTTGGCAGCTTTTGGTTTACTTTTGTCAGCACGAGTTTTAGCACCATCTGGACATTTATTCATAAAGTGACCATTCTGCTTGCACTTATAACAAGTGACATTACTTACGTCTATCCGATCTTTGGTAGTGGAACTGCTGTTGCCATCTGTCGGTTTCCATCGCGACTTTCTGATGTTGGGTTTTACAGCGAACGCTCCACCTTTATTACCTTCGCCATCTAGGTTAATATCGAGCAATTTCGATTTGATTTCATCTGTCTTTATGTCGATTCCTGAATGTTCGATGGCAAGAATTATAGGCATGAATTTTTCTGGAAGTCCTGCTAACAGAAGAGAACCGACCCAAGTCTCGTCGATCATGAAGCCTGTACGATTCAACTTCTGAGCAGTTTCAATAACTTGGCTAACATATGACTCCATTGAATTCCAATTTTCAAATCTTAACGATATTAGCGTTCGAAGTAGTCCTATCTTTCTTGACAATCCATTGTCTTCATAAAGCTTCCTAAGCGTGTCCCAAACCTGTTGGTCAGTTGTTGCTTCTTTGACGTGCAAAAACAAGGAGAGGGATCCGACGTGAGGAACAGCTTGGCTTTGGGTTTTGCCACTTGTGTGGTATCTGTTTCGGATCCGTCAAGATATTTTGACATTCCTTCCAAAATGAATACGTTCTCAATGGCGAAAACCAGTCTTGGTACCGAACCAGGGCCGTCGCCATGGGGGGATGGGGGACCCCCCCCCTGCTTTTTCGACTTGGGAAAAAGTTGGGAGAAAGTTGGGAAATTTCGGGCCGTGAAGATTGAAAAAAAATAATAGTAAAAAAATGAATGACAATTAAAAAAATAAAAATGAGAGAAAAGAAAGGAAGAGGTAATAAGAAAAGGGAAAGAACCAGGAGAAGGTCCGGATTTCCCAACATGCATAACTTGGAGATTCCATACTTTCAAATTATGAGTTGTTTGAAAACTTCAAAAAAGTTTAGTTTCTCCCAAGTAACAGAACAGTAACAGTCTACAAATTTTTAAGTGACAATTTTACGAAATTTCCAACTTTTCGCTGTTTTTTCGACTTGGAAAAGTTGGTAAATTTCGGGCCGTGAAGATAGAAAAAATAATAGTAGAGAACAATAAGCACAATATTATTTAAGTGTTGTTTCCTTTCATTTGTATTGAATATTCCTGTACATGGTGGAGATGGTGGAAGACCAAGGACCTTGGTCCAAAGTAGAATAATTCCTATTATTATTTTTATAACTACCAAAATTTATTTTTGTTTGTGCACAACCTATCGGGCATAAGCATTAAGCCAATCTTTGGATAGCTAAGTAAGGAAATCAATATATTACAGTAGTAACTAATCCCTCGGTTTTCATTTTTTCGAAAGTTGGGAAATTTTGCTGATGGGGTTGGGAAAATTTGGATTCCCTCCCCCCGGTTTTTCTTTTAGCTACGGCCCTGAACCGATCTCTCGGCAGATTCCGACAAACTCAATACTGAATAACACAGTTGCCAAGATTAATTTTTACAGCTTAGCAGTTGACATTATTGCCAAGAGCACCATGGAGATAATTTTTGATCTTTAAACAACAACAATCTGCCCACTTTCAAGCGACGACTATGGGCCTGAGACTCTGGCAAGGACGGATCCAGAGGGGGGGGGGCATCGCCCCCCCGAGACATCGCTCGTTCTACACCGAACGACCCAACATACCCTAAAAATTAATTAATTTGTGTATGTTGAGTTTCGTAGACAGGTAAACAGGTATAAAACCGTATGCGTAAAGCCACACCCTCATCCCTCCTCCACCGACACCAACCTATTTAGTGTTGAAATAGAATCATTAGTGGTTAGTGGACTTTTAGTATTGATTGAGTTCGGAGTGACCAATTTACATTTTTTGTAATATTTTGAATGCAGATGTTTTGGATTTTTCTCATTGAATTGCATCTATAGTATTGGATTTTGAATTCGCCTTCGCTTCCGTTATACTGATTCATCTTTTTTTGTGGATTGTGAATTACCTAATTTTTTGGGATGAAACGAAACAAACAAACTAATTTGATGGACATCATCACTAAACGCAGTAAACCGAATGATTCTTTATCCACTTTGTGTAAGTAAAACAATAAACAATTAAGTAGTGCACTTTCTATTTGACATACAACGAGCGAGTTGGAACCCTGAATTTGGTAAGCG